CGGGGCCTCCCGCCCCCGCGGGGCCTCCCGCCGCGGCCGCCCTGCCAGCTGCCGGCGCTCGGCCCCGCCTGGCCGCGCTGGGGTGGCCTCGCCCGCTCGCCTGCCCGGCCGCCATCGTCGGGGAGGCCGCGCTCTCCGCACCGCCGGGACAGACCGTGCTGTCCCGGCCGCGCTCGGCCCCCAGGCGACCCGTCCTCATTCCCTAGGTGCTTTGGTTGGGGTTTTCAGGGTTCTCCTTTTTTCTTTTCTTTTTTTTCTTTTTCCCAGACCCGGTAAGGGGTGGGGGAAAGATAACCACTTTCGGCTGCCACCTCGGGCGGCCCGCGGGGGCGGGCGGGTGGGTGGGGGGAGTTCCTAGCCAGCGTCCCCGGGAGAGTCAGCTCAAATGTTCGAGTCCGGGAGGCTAGTCCGTCATATTTCGAAACCTCAAGAAATCCCCTCTTCTCCACCCCACCGCAGGATCAGGAACTGAAATAGCGCAGCGAGTAGCACTGCGCAGACTTAGGGAACTCAAGCTTTGGCGGCGACGGCGCTCCCCATCCCCCCTCCTTTTTTTCTTTTTTCTTTTCGCCCAGTTTATTTTACCGCTTCGGGGGTTACTCATGTTTGGGTCCACGTTTGCGGTTGTCCAACTGGGAGTAGTTCTACGCGCGAACATTTTTCTCCCGTCTCCTCCCCACAATAGGTCAAACAAATGTTCACCTCTCGTCACCGCCCCCGCCCCAGCTCCTGTCGGCCCCCGTCTCCGTGCTCCCAGGTCATGCCCCTCTCCCACCTCCTACCCTCCGCTCCTTGACTGCTTGCCTGTGTGAACATGAATAATTCCACAGCACTTCCCATCTGTTATTGCCATAGAGACAGAAGCTCAGCAAAGATAATGATGTTCTGTGCAGAGCCGGTTGGGGGAGAGCAGCATCTGCGAGTCTGGGGGAATAGATGTTTTAACTGCCAGAATATTTAGAGGCCTGACTGGAGAGCTGAAGCGAAAGCCAGGGCTGTCCTGAGACTAAGCACCTGGGCGGCTTGCACCTGGCTCTCTTTCTGGCCAGAAGAAACAAATTTAGAAACCAAGATAACGTGTGTGTGTGTGTGTGTGTGTGTGTGTGTGTGTGTGTGTGTGTTTTAAGTGATTCTGAAACTGCAATTAATGCTAAGTTTTTAGTAGTCATTTTACCAACCATAAAAGCAATTACTTGATTGCATGGCCAAAGGCCTCGGAAACAAAATTAATTGGACAATATGTAGACTTTTTAGAAAAATTACATATATTATCCTTTTGTTCTTTTGTCCTCTCCGGGAATCTCTTTTTGAGAAAAGGATCTTTTGTTTCTGGGATTTTATGTGTAACAGTTGACAAACTGGTCATAGCCATGAGGCTAGAACCAATCAAAACCAAGCTGTGGGGGCCCATTTTCACCATTATTCTTCAAATACAAAATAACTCACCTTGCCCTTGAAATCCCGAGGTCTTAGCCTAAAAGTAAAGGTTGAACTGGGAGTGAAATTAAAAAAGGTCCGGCTGCATAGCTCTGCTGCAATTGGGTGGGCTTTTTCTGAACCACACCTCTGAAGACTATTTAAGGGTTTTCAGAATTATCAATAAACTGTACTGTAAAATTAGGCTGCCGATGTAGGCTAGTTAGTAGAGGGCTTGCCTAGCACACATCAAGCCTTGGGTTGAACCCTAGAACTGCATAAACATGCAATCTTAGCATTTGGAAGGTAGAGGCAAGAGGATCAGAAGTTCAAAGTCATCCTCTGCTACATAATAAGAGGCTAGCCTGGACTACAAGAAATGCATTCTCAAGGAAAAAAAAATTTAAAGACACTGAAAGCAAATGACGATGGTTCTTTATTCCAGAAGCAGATCTAAACAAACACAGGAAATACAGGCCTAGGGAAAACTCAGGGGGTGGAGGAGATAGCTCACTTGTAAAATGTCCACTATACAGTGTGAGGTCCTGCGTGTGCTTTCCCCAACGGCCTACATAAAACCCAGACACAGTGGTGCTCATCTGGGAGCCAGCGCTGAGGGAGAGCGGAGAAAGGCAGATTCCTGATGCTCACTGGCCATCCGGCCTGACTGGATCCAAAAGCTTCAGACTTAGTAGGAGATCCTGTTAAAAGCAAGGTGGAGAGGCTGAGGACACAGCTCATCAAAGCCACCTTGTTCTTATAAGGGACCTGAGTGTAGTTCCTAGCACCACACAGTGGCTCAAAATGGTCTGTAACTCCTGGACCAAGGCATCAGATGTCCTCTTCTGACCTCCTGGAGCACCTAGCACACATGGGATACACGTATTTGCATTCAGGCCAAACTCTCCTAAAATAAGGTGGAAAATAATCCAGGAAGATGTCTGAAGCCCTGTTCTACTGCGGTGAAGAGACCTCATGACCAAGTCAACTCTTCAAAAGCATTTAATTGGGGGCTTGCTTACAGTTTTAGGGGCTTAGACCACCATCATCACAACAGGAAGCATGACGCCAGGCCTGGCACTGAAGAAGCAGTTGAGAGCTACATCCTGATCTGCAGGCAGAGAGAAAAATACTAGGTTTGGCTTGAGTGTCTGAAACATCAAAACCCACACCCAGTACCCTTCCTCCAAGAAGGCTACACCTACTCCAACGAGGCCACACCTCCTAATCCTTCTAATCCTTTCAAACAATTCCAGTTTCTGATGACTAAGCATTCACATATAGGAGACCATGATGGTCATTCTTATTCAAACCACTACAGAAGAAGATACCCATTGTCAGTCTCTGGCCTGCATATGCAGTTGTACACACATGTACACATGGGAACACACACAAAAGGAAAAAAAAATAAGCATCATGAAGTAACATTATGATTACATGTATTAGTAGTCTTAATCAGTGTTGAAAAGTTAAGTACTGGTCAGTAAATAACCATCAGATGGATTGCACTCACCGTCTTGGCCGCCAGCTGGAATTAAGCAAAACCACTGTGAGAGCATGCCAGTGGTCTAAGAATTCCAAGTGGTGGAGTGTGCCCTTGCCCATTGTTTGGTTAGATAGTAAGGCTTGGGACTAGATACCTTAGAGTCCCTTCATTAGTAGCTGTAGCTGTCTGGTAATAGCAGAAACCAAGGATCCAGAAGCTGCAAATGTGAAAGCAAATCCTGTCCTGTTCTTATGGCAAAAACAAAGGTTAGGGTTAAAAGGGTGAGGTTGGGAATACTGAGGAAGGTAAACAAGAAGCTTACTGCTGGAGAGGAGATAACCAAGTGGACAGATAAGAGGAAGGACAGGGCTGTGAGCCAGTGTTGGCTGGCTGGCTGGCTCTTGCCACCCCTGGCTGAAGTCTGCCTGAGGAACATATACAAGACACTGTCCTCCTATCACATATTCTTGCTTCCATTGCAGCAAATGGTACAGACGAAGCTGTAAGAAGGATGGCTTCTAACAAGATGCTGCCGCCTATTCCAGAAGAGGCCATCAGGATAGACAAAGGCGTTGGTGTGCGGTAACCAGTGAAAACTGCAGCCACATCTTGGTGACTGTGTTAAGTGTTAACCGTCCATAGACAGTGGGGAAAAGCCCATGATCAAAGCCAAGCTGGCCATGAGAGAGGAGACAGAACAGTCTAACAAGCAGCTCACAGACCCCATCACAGTCCTAGACTGGCAACACCTGTGCTGTCAGCCTAGCAATTAGTCATAACTAATGACCAGTAGTCACAGGAACAGCTAACAAAGTCGGAGATGGACAGAAGACGGCTTCCGATTGTGACCCTTCCCCTAACTGAACACGGAGTGAACACGGCACGACCATCTCCCAAGTTGAGTTGGGTAGGAGCCCTTCGCTGCCTCAGTGTGCACTGCGCTCAGAGGATTAACCGGTCAGAATAGAAATAGCCTTTGATTACTTTCTGCCATGAGTCTTAAAGCGAGGGGGAAAAAAACCTTAGATAAAGATCCCAGGGGGCTTTCCCTCCCGTGTACCCTCTCTAGAGCTAATCTAACCTTTCCTGTGTCCCCTCTCAAGCTGTTCTTGCTGCCCAGAGCTCTTTCTGTAATCTTTCTTCTTTAAGCTTCTCTCTCTAATAAAGACTGCTTTTCAAAACTCCCTCCTCTTAGTCTGTGGATTTCATTCTTTGACCTTGGGAGACAAGGACTCAAGCCACTGACTCAAAGGAAGTTCTGTGGGATGCACACCTGAGGTAAGAAAGTCTCTGTGACACAAGGACAGCCCTTCTCCCTGTTTCACTACAGCCTGATGGTTTGGGGCAAATGCTTCCCTTTTGACTCCATTAACTGATCTGTTATCACTTTCTTTGGCTGTTTAGCTAAGAGCCACCATGCCGCTCTAATGATACAATAGAGGAGGATCTGAGTCCGAAGGGACACTAACTGAAACTTCCTGGGTCTGGTGTCCAAGAACAAAAATTTGGGCC